GTCCATATGTGCATACGTGCACATGAATGCAGATGCCTTTGGAGGCCAGAAGAAGGCATTGGATCCCTGAAAGCTGGCAGTTGTGAGCCGTGTAATGTGGGTGCTGGGAACAGAACTCCAGTCTTCTGTAGTATGCACTCTTAACTGCTGAGTCATCTCTCCATACCCATAAAGGAAGCTTTAAAAAGTATCTCCAGACATAGATATGGCACAATTGGTAGAGTGCTTGCCTAGGATACATTGAAAAGCCCTGGGCTCGGGGCTGGAGAGGTGGCTCGGTGGTTAAGAGCACTGGCTGCTCTTGCAGAGGACCCAGGTCCAGTTCCCAGCATCCACATGGTGGCTAACAACCTCCCATAACTCCAATTCCAAGGGATTCAACAACCTCTTCTGACCTCCATGGGCATTGTACCCATGGGTACACTTATACACATGGAGGCAAAACACTTATACACATAAAATAAAAATAAATGAATAAAATTTTAAAAAAAAGAAAATCCTTGGGTTCAGTCCTCAATACCCTATAAACTGGAATGGTGGTACTTGCTTATAATCCCAGCATTTGAGAGGTAGAGGCAGGCAGATTAGAAGTTCAAGGTCATCCTCAGCCCTATGGAGTTTGAAGTTGGTCTAGGCTATCTGAGACCCTTTCTCAACAACAACAACCACAACAACAAAACTAAATCTCTAGACATTGCCAAATTTCCCCTAGAGAACCTCTGGTCTAGGCATTATTGTAAAATACCTTGTGATATGCTGAGGCCCTCAGGCTAAGCCATCCAATGTGGTTGTTTTAATGAATAGTTTACTAGCAAATCTCATTTGTAACCAACAAGCTATGGAGATAAGACAGAGCCACTCTGCAGTGAGTGCTGCTCTTAGTCACTCACTACTTCAGCCCACTCATTACGTATATGTGTGTGTCATTCATTTCTTTCTAATAGTCTATTTCCAGGATTGGTCCTAACTCCCTTCTTTCTCAGAGAAGCTGTCTCTTTCTACTTTGCCCAGGCATCTACCTGGGTGCAGGGGTGCCCTTTGCTGTCACAGCCCTCCTCACACTGCATTCTGATTGCCAGTGTCAAGGGTCAAAGACCATCTCCTCCATTGTGCTCTGGACCTCTCGCTGGCACATGGAAGGTACCCAGTACAACTCTAGTTCACTATATAGTAGAAGTGGCAATATATTGTGTTAGTTTGCTTTTCATTGCTGTGATAAAAACGCTAGCCAAAGCCAACTTGAAGAGGAAAATGTTTATTTGTTTTACACATCCTGATCACAGTTCATCCTTAAGGGAAGCCAGGGCAGGAACCTGGAGGAAGGAATTGAAGCACAGACTACAGAGGAATGCTGCTTACTGGTTTATTCCTCTGACTCATGCGTAGCCTGCTTTCTTTTATAATCCAGGACCACCTGCCTAGGGGTGGCACCACTCACAGTGGACTGGTCCCTCCCACATCACTCCATAGCTTAAAAAAATGCTTCACAGACATGCCCACAGGCCAGTCCCATAGAGGAAATTCCCCAATAGAGGTTCTCTCTTCCCAGGTGTGTCAAGTTGAGAACTGAAGCTATCCAACACATATGTTGTGTTTAGTTGTGGGTCAAATACAGAATTTAGCTAAGACTGTTTATTTACAATAATCATTGCCTAGGCCTACTTAAATCTTGCTATGTAATTAGGAACTTAACAAGTGGTATCTCACTAATCATAAAGCAACCTCATAAAACAATATCACATTTGAAAGATGGGGAAATTGGGGCTCCTTTCATTAAGACTTGAGTAAATGAGCCTAAGATTTTGTTAAAAACATTTTATTTTTAATTATGTGGTGTATGTGTGTGCGTGTGTGTGTGCGTGCGTGCGTGCGTGCGTGCGTGTGTGTGTGTGTGTGTGTGTGTGTGTGTGTGTAGGTACTCTCTGAGGCCAGAAGAGAGATTTGGATCCCCTGGAACTGGACTTACAGGTAGTTGTGAGATGCCTGATGATAGTGCTGGAAACGGAACTCTAGTCCTCTGCAAGAGCAGTACATGCTCTTCCCTGCAAAGCCATCTCTCCAGCCCCCAAGACTGTCTCTTGATGACTAGGCTCTACCCTTCTCCTCCCTTTCTCCAACCAACATCCATGGGGTATAGCCAGGGACTTGGGGTGCTTATATAGCAAGAAGCATGGACACCTATATAACTGCAGGATCAGGTTCAGTATCTCTTGTATCACCTTTCTTCTTACACTCATAAACCTGGGTGTTGGTTCTTTTTGTGTACAGAATAATCATTTGATGAATTAGGAGTAGAAAAATGACTCTGTGATTGTGTTCAATTTAGAACCGTTTTTTTTCCTCTTTGAGAGATCTGCAGAGGCACAGAAATGATCAGATTATACAAAATCTTATCTATAATAACATTCATAGGGGACAATATTTCACATGCGGCTGAGAATCAGAGACACTTTCTTTTTGTTTTTGAAACAGTCTCACTCTATGGCTCAGGCTGGCTGGGGATTTACTATGTACCCTCAGCTAGCCTTCAATTCACAATTATTTTCCTGTCTAGGATTTCTGAGCCACCATGCCTAAGAGAAAACACCTCCTGATTCTGAGGGGTGGCTATGTATGTGTACAGGAAAAGGTACCAAGAAGAAGTGGTCCAGAGAGATGGCTCAGCATGTAAAGGCACTTGCTGTCAAGCCTGATGACTTGAGTTCACTTTCTGGAACCCACAAGGTAAAAAGAGAGGACCAATTCTTGTAAGTTGTCCTCTGACTTCTGCATGTGTGCTCTGGCATGTGTCTGCATGCACACACACAATAAATGCATAAATGGAAGAAGGGGGGAAGAGGAAGAGGAGGAGGAGGAAGAGGAGGAGGAGAAGCAGGAGGAGGAAAGTTTAAGGGCTTCGGATGAAGCTCCATTGGTAGAGTGTTTGCTTAGCATACTTGAGGCCATACGTTTAATTCCTAGCACCACATAAACCAAGCATGATAAAAGCATGATAATGCATACTTGTAATCTCAACACTCAGGAAGGAGGAGGATCAGAAGTTCAGGGTCATCCTTGACTACCTAACAAGTTTGAGACCAGGCCAGGATACATGAGACCCTGTCTCAAAAACAAAAAACAAAAAACAAAACAAAACAAAACAAATCCAGGTTGGAGAGAAGGATCAGTGGTTAAGAGCACCAACTGCTCTTGCAGAGGACTGGGGTTCGGTTCCCAGTACCCAAATGGTATATTGTAACAAGAGACTGTAATTCTAATTTCAGGGGATCTGATGCCCTCTTCTGGCCTCTGTGGGCATTGCATGCATGTGGTGCACTCATACATGCAGGCAGAACATTCGCACACTAAAATAAAAAATTTAAAAAGTGAAAAACACACACACAGAGCCATTAAATGAAATAAACCTGAATTAGAAACACAAGTGCCTTCATATGTTTTCTTTCATATGTAGATTCTAAGTTGTTTATATGTGTGTGCATGTACATATGTGTTACTTTGTATGCTAATTTAAGAATAATAAACCCAGGGGGCTGGAGAGATGGCCCAGAGGTTAAGAGCACTGGCTGCTCTTTCAGAGGACCTGGCTCATTTCCAGTACCCACATGGTGGTTAGCAGCCATCAGTAACTTCAGTTCCAGAGGATATGATGCACTCTTCTGGCCTCTATGCATGTGATACACTTATATACATGCAGGCAAACACTAATACATGTAAAAATAAGTCAACCAATAAAATAAAATATCTAACCATTGTATTTGTTGGGGGGGTTGTTTTTTGGTCTATTTTGAGACACAGTCTCCTTGTAGCCCCAGCAGGCCTGGAGCTCACCATGTAGTCCAGTATGGCCTGGATCTCATAGAGCTCCACCTGCCTCTACCTCCCTGGATCTGGGATCAAAGGGGTGAGCCATCAGACCCTGCACATTAAGTTTCTTTTGTGAAATAGAAGTCTGCTTTTGTCAGGAATGGTGGTGCACATGTATAATCAAAGCGCTTGGGGAGGGGGCTGAGGCAGAAGGATTGCCAAGTTTAGGTCTGTTTTCTTTCCTTGTCTTTTGTGGTACTGGGTGTTGAGATTGCCTTCCACATGCTAGGCAAGCACTTAATCACTGGGCTTTATCCCCCACCCTCTTTTTACTTTTTATTTTGAGACAGGGTTTCAGTAAATTGCCTAGGCTGGCTTTGAACTTGTGTTCCTCCTGCCTCAATCTCCTAAGTATCTGGGATTATAGTCCTACACTATAAAGTGTGGCCATAATTCTGCTTTCTTGAAATGCATCTTAGTACCCACAAATCATTCAATGTTTATCATTTGTTCCCTCAGATTGCCAGATTTTTGAAAAAGCATGCAGTGTATTTTCATCTGTTTATTTTCTATTTTGCCTCCTCAAATAAATTGCCCGAGGGCAGGAACTCTTTTTCTTGCCTCACTGAGTGTTGTTCTATGAATGTTGACAATAGTAACAAAGCTAAAATAGACTGTTTTCTAGTCAGCAGATGAGCAAGTTTGAGTATCTAGTGTGCTTAGCCCCATTCTGTTGCATGGAGTATGCCAAACAGCATAAGACTAGGGCCCTCTCCTACAGGACCCTGCAGTCTGTCTTCTAGCAGGAGGTTGAGGGATGTGGGAAAATCTGTCTTCTTCCCATCTGTGGTAGGGTTTGTTAAGCAAGCAGGTCTGTGGTCCACAACAAGAGGCGCTCCAAGACACCTTACCATGATTCATAGAAGGCCTAAGAATTCATAGGCGGTGTTTCCGCTCGTTTTCCCCAGATGAATCTAGAAAGAACTAGAAGGTCCGGTAGGACGGGGGTCTTTTACAGTGCCCTTAAAGGTCATATCCCATCTCGCCATCTGTCCATCTACTCTGAGCCTGAGTGGCGGCGCACAGAGGCGGGACAGAGCGCGGTGCCAAGGGCGGAGCCCAGTGGACTCCCGGACCCCTCCTGCCGCACCTTCCTAGCTCCGCCCCAAGCACTCAGCCCCGCCTCCTGGAGCAGGCTCCGCCCCTCAGCACCGCCCCCTCCTACGACCAGACTCGGGCTCTCTTGGCCCAGTCCGGGCCAGGGAGCCTCCAGGCGGAGAGGCTCCCGAGCCACGGCCTCCTCATGGAGGAGCCGCTCTCACCCCCTCCAGAGCCCGGGCTGCTCCTGCCGCCGCTGCAGGGAAGCGGAGCCGCTGCTGTTCCGGAGCCTGGAGCCCGGCAACACCCGGGACACGAGACGGCGGCTCAGCGGTGCAGCGCCCGCCTGCTGCAGGCGGGTTACGAACCCGAGAGGTGACGCCCAGGGCTGAGCGCGCGGAGCGCAACCGGGCGGGCGGCCTAGGAGGGCGCGGCAGCTCCGGGGACCCGGTGGCGCTGCAGGGGAGGGGAGGGGCAGGCTTCCACACCCTTCCCCTGCACCGCCTTCATCCCTAACTTCCCGAGACGCGGTTCGGCTACCACGCGCAGGCATGGGGGATACAGGCGGCCACTGTGCAAACAGTTCAGTGCCTTGTTATTCTAGGGAGCAGGGGACAGGGCGCAGATCATAAAAACGCCCTTTAAAATCTTAGCCCCGGATCGGACCTTGACTACACGCTCAGCGACACTCTGTGCAAGTATAGCTCCAACTCCTTAGTACAAATAGTGCTTGTTGGAGTCCCTGTCCAACTTTGCTTCCTCCTCAGCTGTTCCTGTCTAGAACAGTCTTCAGTAGTCTTGTTGGTAGGTGAGGGTGTCCGGATGGAGCACCTCCCACGGACAGGTGAAGATTCGTGCCATCGAACACATGAGGTCCGATGAGGCTGCTGGTGCCATTCCCTTCCTCCAAAGACCCCCTGCAAGGGTTTGAAAGGCAACGAGGGTCGTTGGAGAGTGAGGCTGGTGAACTGGGCCTCAGAGGAACTGGCAGCTAATCTCTGAATTCTATCGCAGTTTGAAATGCAGCCCAGAGGATTTGGACTTCTCTGCCCCATCTGTTGGTGCTCAGCAGCTTGGGAGATGGCCTGGCAGCTGGGCTTTTTGGGGGAGGGTGGTCTGGAGGGAATTAGCCAGGTAGCTCTGCCCAGGGTCTGACGGCTTATGTAAGAACTTTTAACGGCTTTAGGAGCTACCAAACCCAACTACTCTTACTACTGCAGACCGGCTCTTTAGAATTGATTCAAGCTTAGGCAATCCCTATCCTTTTCTTCTATTGATAGAAATCTAGGTTGGAGGGCTCAGAGTGATAGAGAGGACCCACAGTACTGGAGGAAGCAGGCTGGGGCAGGTGTGGGCTTGATAGAAGCAATGCTGGAATTACAAAAATTTGAAATTTCAGAACTCAGGCTGGGGCCCCTCAGGAGCATCCCTACTGCCACATCAAAGGGCCAGTGCCAACCCCCCCCCCCCCCCCCCCACTTAGTGTCAGAAGAGCCTGCATAAAACCTGAGCTCCAGCCAGGCAGTATGAGATTCAAAACTTGCTGGCCAGACCTCCATCTGCTCTCACCAACCTAGAGCTGTAGAAGAGGCCAGGGTTCCATGAGAAGTCCTGGGCTTGAGTCCAGTGTTACTGCTCTCTGGTTTGAACTTGGTGAGCCCTGCCCTGGTGTCCCAGCTCAACAATGCTAATGTTATTACATTTTCTCCTCTAAAAGTGTTTTAAAATCTTGTTCCTTCAAACAGCCCCAGATCAGATAGAATCCTCTGGGCTGCCTGCCTGGGCCTCAGTACTCCACTGGGCATTGGTCTCCTAGTCCCCTAAGCAACTGGCTCAGGCCTGCCCCCTGCCCTTGAAGCTGTGAGGTGGGGAGTCTCTGGGGACCAGCTGCCCTTCCTTGGGTTGAGGAGGTCCACTGGTTGCCTGGTGTCTCCTCCCCACGGAGGAAGCAGCTGGGGAAGCTCAGGAAGAGGGGGAGGGAAGCCAGGGGGGATGGATTAAGTCCCTGGGAAAAGGACAGCCTAACCAAGCCTTGAGCCCAGCAGCTTAGAGTAATGAGGAGTAGGAGGGAGAGGGCCCTGAAGTCTGTAATCACTGGGAAGGTGACCCTCCTCATAGCTCAGCCTGCCAGCCTCCTCCCCTGGGGCCCAGTCTCCTAGGCTGGGGCAGATGTCACATTAAAGTTACCTGAGATGATAGACCCCAGCTGTTCTGGGCCCCAGCCGTGGCTGAACCTTGAATAGTAGCCATTCTTGACTCATGATGTAGAGAATGATGACCCATAGCAAGTCCCTTAAAGACCCAGAGAGACCACAGGGGCAGTCTGGGCTCAGAGCTTGTGATGAACATGGCGGCTGTGTCTATGGCCAGGAAGGGCAGTTCTGAATGATCAGGGTGCTTTCTCTGGCTGGTTTCACTGTTCTGGTTCCTTGGTAGCCAGTGAGAGGTTGTCATTCTGGCTTCCCATATGGCCCAGGCTTCTGGAGTGGATCTTTGAGTGCTGGAGAATCAGAGGTGCTTCCCAGGTATCCCTGGCAAGCTGGCCCCAGCTCCCATTTTACCAAGAGCTCCAGCAGTCTCCTCTCCTTTCTAATGCTTCAGGGCCTTCAGAGACTCCCACTGGGACCCTTCTTTTGGGCTCCACTGGTGGAGAGGGAAGATTGGGCTGTATGGTATCCTCCCCTTCCTCCCCTATCACCAAGGGACAAGAGGACATCTGCAAGTTTCTTGTAACAGTTTGTTTTGTGGGAGACCTCCCCTTCCCTCTGCACATGGATGGAACAGCCTATGTTTTCCTGGCAGGGTCCCTGGGGCATCATTTGGGAGGCTGGGCACTCCAGAGAGCCTGGTGGCTTGTGAAGCTAAGGTTCTCTTGGGTCTAGCTGTCACTACACTGCTGAGGTAAACAAACTCAGCCTCCCTGGGATGGGAGGTGGGGAGGAGCCACAGCCCTCATGCCAGGGAGAGCCTGCCTCACTGCTGCTTCACTTTCTCCCCTAAACCAGTTAGGTACCTGTGGGAACCGCGGGAGGGCAAAGGGAGGAGACTGGGGAAAGCTACTGGTCAGGCTACACTACATTAGCAGTTCTGCACACCAGAGCAAAGGTGCTACAAACCCAGCTTCCTCCACATGAATAGATTTGTTACCCAATCTTATTGTCCTTCAGTTTGAAATGCTGGGCTCTTGGGACTGACCACCCAAGTTCTGCTCTGGGAAGTTAAAAAAAAGAAAAATTCCCTGCCTCTGTCCTGGTTTGTACATACACTTCCCTGGTCTCTAAATCTTTCAGGAGCTGAGGATGAGGGCTGTGTGTGTGTGTGTGTGTATTCTGGGACCAGGAGTTAGAGGCTGGGCACTTCCTATTTCTGAACTGTATGTAGGCTTTGCACCTGAACAAGAGCTCTAATACTGGAAATTAATAGATTGTGGACTGTAATTGCTCACTTATGAAAAGTGCTTTGTGGATGAGGGCTCCAGTGTCTCCCAAAGGTCAAAAGTGTCATCGTTAAAAATGCCTGCTTCTTAGGAATGATGTGGGGGGTGGGGCAGGAGTAGTGGTCCAGCCCCAGTCTTCGATGTATTGGAGCGCTGTGATTCCAGACTGGTATCGCAGAGCTCTGGGCTTTGATCAGGGTTGGGGGATTGCTATTGAGAAAAGGCAGAACCGTGGTAGAGATACACCTAGGGTAGGCAACAGGAAACTCAGGCTGGCGGGGGCTCAGTGGCCTGCGAGGCAAGGCACACTGCTGGGGTTCTAGGGAGCGCGGTGAGGACCAGCGAAGGGGGCGTGTCCCCGCCTGGCTCGGTCCCCTCTCGAGCCGGTCCCACACGCTCTTCCCCAACCCCCACCGGGGCCAGAGTCCCCTGGGCCACTGCAGGCGGTTGGGGCGTGCGCGCAGCAGCGGTGGCGGCTGCAGCTGGGCGGGCCGGGCAGGGCCTTTGTGCGGCGAGAGGAGGAGGCAGTGCTCCCCGAGGGAGGGGCGGGAGGCGAGGGCGGTGCCCGGGGCGGCCCGCAGCAGCCGCAGCCCCCGCCCCTGGCCCCCGGCGGCAGCGTGGCCGCAGCGTCAGCAGCAGCACTGGTAGTAGCGGCGGCGGCAGCGGCGGTGGCAGCCGGGCTGCCCGCGCGGGTGTTTATGTCGGGTCGCGGTGTCTCCCAGCAGCATGGCGGACTACCTGATCAGCGGCGGCACTGGCTACGTGCCGGAGGATGGGCTTACCGCTCAGCAGCTCTTCGCCAACGCGGACGGCCTCACCTACAAGTAAGCTCGGGGATCGGCCCAATCTGGGTGCGCACACCTCAGCCCTAAGGGTCAGCGGCCCCCTCACGTGCATGGCTGTCTCTCGCTGACGCCTGAGTGCCCTCGCCCAATAAGAGTGACTTGGGGCTAGTGGGGGGCTGGGCAAGGGAAGGAAGGAGGCCCGAGCCAGGAGCAGAGGGACGTGGCACAGCGACATCGCTGCCCATGGAGCTTTGATTGGTTCCTGGTCAGATCCGGGACTGACCTGCCTCCTTCTTCTTCTCCTGGGCATCTTAGCCGTTCTGGGCAAGCCTTGGGGCATGTGGGAAAATGAGGTGTGGCTGTTTGGGGGAGACGTTAACCAGACCATGATCCAGGATGCCCTCTTTCCCCAAGCTGAGGCATGAAAGCGAAGAGGTTCCAGGAACCCATCTCAGGCAGCTGGTTGAGTATCGCGCTGCAGGAGGGGCCCCACTGGGCTCTTTCTTCTACCTTCCAGTCCAGCCCTCCTTCCACTTGTGCCCACAGGTTGGCACTGGTGCCCTCCAGGAATATTCTGTGACTACCCCTTAAGCCCACTCCACGTGGGACTTTGAAGGATAGAGACCTACCTGTCTGTCTCAAGCTTAGTTTGCATTTTCTGGTGGGTCCTAGGCCAGTTGTTCTGCCTGCTGCGGGCCTGGCACTAGTTGTGCCTCCTGGCTGCGGGCCTGGCACTAGCTGTGCCTCCTGGCTGCAGGACATTGTTCCTGCCAGGAAGGTAGGTGCATCAGAACCCCTGGTTGGGGCAGAATGGTGATGCTGGAGAGCCAGTAGCACCCTGGCCTGACTCCCCGATCTCCACCCTGGTTCATAAGCATTCTTGGTTGGCAGGCGATTTCCTTGTCACTCCTGAAGAGGGTGCCGTCTTGCCTGCCCACAGGTGAGGGGTGATTATATCTAGAAAATGCCAATGGGCCCACACTCCAGCGTTTCTTCTCTAGCCTCGAAAGTGAGCCACAGAGGTAGAGGGCTGCCAAGGGAGGGTGGAGGTAGAGGCGGGATAACATTCTTTGTTACTTTGATGGTCTTTGATGATGAGAGAGGCGGGGTCTGTCTTTGAGAGGGATTTTACTGAAGTCTTCTGGGGGAGCTTCACAGGGGAACGCCTAGGAATTTCTCTTGGCCTAGGGGCAAATTAATCATGTCTGCCCTGTGGCTTTTCCTTTCTGCACTGGAGGTGCCTCCTGCTTTGCATAGCCAGGCTCAGTTTCTGAAGTATGGGGTATCTGGTTGGAGTGTGTCTGTCAAGGCTTGCTGTTATTCATGGTAGACTGAGCCCATAGGGTTATTGGCTTGTGGCACTGTTCCCAGAAGTACCATGTAGGCCTGGTCTTCCCATCTAGGCTTCACTTGGCTTACCACACTCATGTTGACAGCTGCCATGCTCTGGCTGGCCCTAATTGTGAGGCCTCCTGGTTGTCCTTTCCTATGTGTGTTGGTTGCTCCTATCCTAGTATCTGCTCTGTCAGAACATGCCTTGAACTCAGCTCCCTGAGGTCCTCCCAGTTGCTTTGAACCTTGTATGACTCAGCAGCCCAGCCCTGGATATGCTGGGTTGTGCTTGGGCCACATTGCACTACAAACTAGTTTTCAGGTTCTCTGTTTTCTTTTTTTCTTGCAGTGCTGGGAACCAAACCCAGGACCTTGTACATATTAGGCAAATATTCTACCACTGAGTTATATCCCCAACCTAGGTTCTGGTGTTTGGTGTTTGGTGGGGTTTTGTTTGTTTGTTTGTTTGTTTGTTTTCCTATTTTGTTTTTTTGAGACAGGAGCGCATGTAGCCCAGGCTGTCCTCAAACCCTGATCTCTCTACTTCCACCTCCCCAAAGTGCTTTGGATTAAAGGAGTCACCACACCCAGTTTAGGTTCTGTGCTCTCTGTGTTGAGTTATTCTCTGCTTCTGTCAAGACTGAAAAACTTAAGATAGGTGTGATGGCACATACCTGTAATCCCAACATGCTGAAGTAAGAGGATCATGAGTTCAAAACCATTTTAGGCAACTTAGGGAAATACTGTTTCAAAAAGAAAAAAGGAGCTGGGTATGGGGTGGCACACGCCTTTAATCCGAGCACTCTGGAGGCTGAAAAAGAGGCAGAGGCAGGTAAATTTTTGTGAGTTTGAGGCCAGCCTGGGCTGCATGAGACCCTACCTCAAACACAAAACAAAAAAAGAAAAAAAGTCAGGGATAGTAGTGCATCACTGTAATTCCAGCACTTGGGAAGTAGAAGTAGGAGGGTCATGAATTCCATATCATCCTTGGCTATAAAACAGATTCTCAGACTACCTTATGATACGTGAGACCCTGTCCTTAAAAAGCAAAACAGCTGGGCATGGTGGTGCACACCTTTAATCCCAGCACTTGGGAGACAGAGGCAGGTGGATCTCTGAGTTCGAGGCCAGCCTGGTCTATATAGCAAGTTCTAGGCCAGCTGGGGCTACAGGGAGACCCTGTCTCAAAAAGACCAGGAAAAAAAAAAAGCCAATAAAATTATAAAAAAGAGAGAAAGATTGAGAAGTCTTAAAAGGCAAGATGGCCATTTGGGAACTTCTATGTTCCTTGACAAACAATGAGCCCTGAAGGCAATGAATATTTTGGGCCATCCATCTTGGTGGCCTCTGGATCCATAGACCTTCTGTCTTTGGCTCTGTTTCTCGAGGTTGGAGCCATAAGGACATTAGAAGGGGGAATGAGGAAGAGTCTTGGTGATGGGCTAGCAGAGTGTTCCAACCTGTGCTCCTCTACCTTCCCCCGTTCCTGCTGTTTCCCCTAGTATGGCAGACCCTGACCTTTTGGGGCCCCCTTGCTGATCAATCATCCTCATTCCATCTTCACAGTGACTTCCTGATCCTTCCAGGATTCATAGACTTCATAGCTGATGAGGTGGTAAGTACCTTTTCTTCTGATGGTAGGAGGGAGCTAGCTTCTTGCTCAAGGGTAAGGCATGGGAGAATCTTTTCTTGGGAATGTGTTCTTGGTTATTGCCTTTATTGTCGCTGGAGGAACTAGTGCAGGGCAAAGGGTTATGCTTGATGGAGCAGAGGCAGCTCCATTGGTGGGAGTCCTGGGGAGTCTTGAGTAGCAGCCTTGCACAGGTCCAGAGGATGCTCTGTCACTGAAGGAGCTCAGGGCTCGGGAAAGGTCCTTTTTGAGGAGAAGAGGAGAGGACTGGGGTGTGGCTATGTTATTATATAGACTAGAAAGATTGGCTGTTGTCTGAAATGCTGAACAAGGAGTTTGCTGCAGAATTATGGGCACTTTGAATACAGTGTTCAGTGATTGGTCATTGAATCTATAATGGACAAGAATTGGCAAGAGGGTTTGAAGGAGTAGCATTTATGTATGGGGGTTGAGGGGAGGACTTTGGATAAATACAAGGAAACACAATGCCTTGCTTTCAAGAGGCTCAGTCAAATCAGTGAATAATTAGTTGGGAAACTGAGGAGAATAGTGATGATGGTATAAATCAGTTCAAGAGAAGTTCAGTGATTCTGTCCTGAATTCACATCCATTTAAAAAACTTACTTCTGGTGTCATCTCTACGTATTCTGGTCTGATTCTCATGAAAGGCCTGAGAGCCTGCAGGTGCCTAGGTTATTTATATATTGAGGAAACTCAGGTCTAGCCTATATGTATAGAGCTGACCCAGACAGATTTCTAAGGGGAAATAAGGGTTTTTCTGGTTGATCTCTTATGACAGCAATCAGGAAGCTTTCTTGCTCCAGCTATTCAGTTTAATAAAGTTTGTTGAGTGTCCTGGCTTTGTGCCAGACCTTGGGCTGGCTTCTTGGAAGAGACAGACTGAAAAGATACCTGTTTGGCAATGAAGGGTCTCTTTATACAATGGCCTCTGTCAGGAAGGCGGTGCTATTGGTAAAAGAGGTTAAAGAGGTAAAGGTGCTGTTTTCTAGGCTATTGAGCCAGGCCTTTGCTCAGGGTCTGTTATGGACTTCAGGGGCCTGTGAGTCTCAAAAGTTAAAAACCAAAGTCTGTGTTTGGAGGGCTTGGGGGCTAGATTAGTAGCTATTGACTGACTTTCAAAGGGACCCATGATCTGGCCTTATATCCCACACATAGGCAGACAACCTGCAAATATATACAAACTTTGTCTCTTATCTAAAGTGGCCAGGACCAAATATTTTGAATTTCAGGTTAAAAGAAAAAAAGAACATTTGCATATATGTAGTGAGAAGTCTTGGGGATGGACCTAAGTCTAACCCAGGAATTCATTTATATCTATCTATCTATCTATCTATCTATCTATCTATCTATCTATCTATCTATCTATCTATCTATCTATCTTTGTATCTATCTACCATCCCTCTATCATCTATATCATCAGTCATCCATTTATGTATCATCTCTATCATCTCTATCTATCTATCTATCATCTATCTATCAATCATCTATCTATCTGTCTGTCTGTCTGTCTCCATCTATCATCTATCTATCTATCATCTATCTATCTATCTGTCTAAAATCTCTTATACACATGGCCTGAAATAGCCTGAAGGTAATTTTATACGATACTTTTTATGTATCAGCATTTGAAAGTGACCTATCATATGAGGTCAGGATTATTCTACTAGTGATCATGTCAGTGTTCAAAACCTTTTAGGTTTTAGCCAGGCATGATGGTGCATACCTTCAATCCCAGCACTTTGGAGGCAGAGGCAGGTGAACCTCTGTAAGTTCAAGGCCAGCCTGGTCTACATAGTGAGTTCCAGGCCAGCCAGAGCTAAAAAGTAAGATCCTGTCTCAAAACAAAAACTGACACCACCACCACCAACAACAAAAAACCCACCTCCCACCCTTCCCTTGAACTTTTAGGTTTTAGAGCATTTTAGGTTTTGGATTTTCAGATTAGAGATGTTCATCCTGTGTTTATAATCCTGACCTTTCTCTGGAGTTCTAGTCCCTTAGTCATTCATGTTCCTGCATGGCTAATAGGTGCTGTCATGTGCCTGTCCTTGCCACCACCACTTGTCACCTAGAACCCACTCACCATATTCTAGTGTCACTCAACCTTGACCTTATTCCTCCCCCTTTTTCTTCTTTCCTCTCTCTTCCTTTCCTTTTCCCTTCCCTTCCCTTCCCTCTCTTCCTTCCCTGTTTACTATTCTTTTTTGTCTCATGTAGCCCAGGTTGACTTAGAACTTAATATATGGTCAAAGCTGTCCTTGAATTTCTAATCCTTCTGCCTCAACCTGAGATTATGGGCCCAGCCCTCTTTATGACTTTCATCTTGACTGAAATGACCTTTCAGTCTTCCATCTTTCTTTCCAAGTGGAATGGTAAGTTCTCCGACACGTGAGCTACTCGCTCACTGCTGTACCTCTAGGACCATCCTATGCAAGACACATGTAGGTACTAGTGAATGTTTGTCCAATGGCTGCTAAAACCCTTCTATACCATGCTTCCATCCATAGGACCTGACGTCAGCCCTGACCCGGAAGATCACACTGAAGACACCACTGATCTCCTCTCCCATGGACACTGTGACAGAGGCTGATATGGCCATTGCAATGGCTGTGAGTCCCTTTCCCGGGTGGGGACCCCAGGGTAGGAGAACTGAACATGATGGACTTTGCAGAGGGATGGGCAGAAGAGGTTAGCTCCTGGTTCTTACCACACCTCCCTTCCATACCAGCTCATGGGAGGAATTGGTTTCATTCACCACAACTGTACCCCGGAGTTTCAGGCCAATGAAGTGCGGAAGGTTAAGGCAAGTACTGGTTCTATCCTTAGAAACATGCTACTTGGCAGGCCCTCCTCCTCTTCTTGCAGCCCTGCAGCCTGCTGCATTCCCTGGCTGACTGATGTGGGCCCTGGCTGCCCTTCTTCATAGTGAAGTATGGGCTCAGTCCTCCTTTTCCCACGGGTTCTCATCCCATTGAGGGCCCTAATTTCTCAATGGTACAGCCAGGGCCTCCTTAATTTCCCCTGGCCAGGCTACATGTCACCTCTGGATTTCTTGAAGTTTTTTTCTTCCTCTTTTGCCTACAGAAGTTTGAGCAAGGCTTTATCACAGACCCTGTGGTCCTGAGCCCTTCGCATACTGTGGGTGATGTGCTGGAGGCCAAGATACGACATGGTTTCTCTGGCATCCCCATCACTGCTACAGGCACCATGGGTAGCAAGTTGGTGGGCATCGTCACCTCCCGAGACATCGACTTCCTTGCTGAGAAGGACCACACCACCCTCCTCAGTGAGGTGCCTGCAGGGCTGGGGAGGCAGAACTGTGGCACAGAGGGAACTCCACCCCTGGGGGCCCCAGACTGGTGCCTGTGACCAGGGACCATAGGGAGGCCTGGCCCCTTCTCTCTCACCTGCCAACCTGCAGGCAAATGTTCCTGGCCCCACAGGTGATGACGCCACGGATCGAGCTGGTGGTGGCTCCAGCAGGTGTGACACTGAAAGAAGCAAATGAGATCCTGCAGCGCAGCAAGAAAGGTACCAGGGAGTAGACATCTCAACCCTACTGCCTGTGTAGTAGGTCCTTCCATTCTTTCCCAGCCTATCAGATTAGCCTAGTAATGACACCAGGCATTGGGGAAAGTTTGAATAACCTTAGGAAGCCTGGAGCAGGATTCCTGATGTCTATTCCTAATTCAGTAGCTTCTCAGTATGTTACTCCAAACTAGTCCCAGTGGTACGTGGTCATAATAAAAGGGCTTTCTGGTCTTAAAAGTCTGGGAAAGGGCTGAGGGTGTAGTTCAGTGACAGCATGCACTTAATGTGTGAAGCCCTGGGTTCCATCCTTAGCAAAACAAAAGTCCAGGAAATACTTCTTTCTGCATCTCCCATTCCACATAAAGAATTGCACATGGGGTGTGGGGAGACTAGAGAGATGGAGAGATGGCTCAGGGGTTAAGAGTGCTGGCTGCTCTTACAGAGGATTTAGGTTCAGATCTCAGCACCCACATGGTGGTAACAACCATCCATATCTTCAGTTCCAGGAGATCTGATGCCCTCTTCTGGTCTCTATGGGCAATGCACACACATCGTACACTTACATAAGTTTTTAAAAGTTAAAAAAAAAAAAAAAAATCTCTGAGTTCCAGGCCAGCTGGGGCTACATAGTGCTAGTAACCACAGCACCTTGTGTAACATTCACCCCACTTTCTTGTTTTTGATTTTGTTGACTTTGCCTCTCCCAAACTAGATGCTTCTTGAAGGCAGACACTGCTGAATCCTGTCAATTCCATATAACAGTTCCCATGGTGGGGCAGAAGACAGCTGAGCAGAATGTTTATAAGCAGCAAACAAGTAAGGACATGAAGAATCTCCAGTGAAGAGAAAAAGAATGATGAATGAATGAATGAATGAATGAATAAATAAATAAATAATAAATAAATAAATAAATTGCACATGGGGGCCAGTGAGATGGCTCAGTGAGTTAAGGCATTTGCTGCCAAGCTTGACCTGTGTTCGATCCCAGGGACCCTCATGTTGGAAGAAGAAAACCAACTCTGGCAAATTGACTGCCACATGTGTGCACTCATGCACACACATGCATACTAAATAAATGTAATTAAATGGAAATAATTGCGTATGGGAGCAGGGCAGGATCTGGGTGCTCTCTTCTGTGACCTGTGGCCCAGCCAGTGAAAGGCTGCCAGTGCTCAGGGACTGCCCCTCCCACTAGGACAGGAAGAGCACCAGGAACCTCCTTGCCTGGATTTCTTTGCTTCCTGTCCCTTGGGAAAAGGTCCAGGTCCTGGACGGGTGCAGCCACCCAGTGGCCAGTTTGGGTACTTCAGGGAAACCTTTGGTCCTTTTTCATCCTCAAGCCATTCTCCCACCCACTCCAAAGCATGCTTCTTCCTTCTCTTCCTGGTCAGGGAAGCTGCCTATTGTCAATGATCATGATGAGCTGGTGGCCATCATTGCACGCACGGACCTGAAGAAGAACCGAGACTACCCTCTGGCCTCCAAGGACTCCCACAAGCAGCTGTTGTGTGGGGCAGCTGTGGGTACCCGGGAGGATGACAAATACCGTCTGGACCTGCTCACCCAGGCGGGCGCTGATGTCATTGTTCTAGTAAGGATGTGGTGCATTTCCCCAAATCAAGCTTCTGAGGCTCATGTTCCTCTCCTTAGCCTTTGATCTCCCACCTTGTGCTTCCTGGTGTCAGAATTAGGTCCACTGTAGAGCCCAGAACAGACTGCGTGTTTCCCAAGGCCTTCCTCACATATAAGTTGACCCTAATAATTACAGTCACATCACTGAGAGTCCTCACACTTCCCAGGCACTGACCTGAGCTTTTTATGGATTTTCACTCATTTAATTTTTGCAGCAGCACCTTGAGATACAACTGCCCATTCTCAGCAGTAGATGAAGAAACTGAGGCTCAGAGTGGTTCAGTGATTTCACTTGCTTGGCTAGTAAGTTGGCAGGAACAGGCTAATGATGTCTCTTTGTCATGACAATGGACTTGTCTAGGAAGTAGGACGGGGCTGCATCTCTTAGTTGCTACCTGAGTGTTTAATCTTTTGACAGGTGAAGCAGGCCCCTTTGAGAGAGTCAGTTGAGAGTTGTCAAGTCACTTTCCAGAAAAAGAAAAAAAAAATGAGTGCCCTCATTTCTATATTCCTATGATTTCAGGGGTTCATCCTCCCCCAGTGAGGAGACTCGGCTGTCTAGCCCAAGCTCTTCTGTCCCTCTTCCAGGACTCATCCCAGGGGAACTCGGTGTATCAGATCGCCATGGTGCACTATATCAAGCAGAAGTACCCCCATCTCCAGGTGATTGGGGGGAATGGTGAGTGTGGGGTTCTTTCTCACCTCCTACTCTTGGCCCTTGCTGTGTAATCCTTCTCTGTCCTTCAGAAGGCACCTTTAGGTGATGATATTGCTCCAGGCATGGGGGGCAAGGGGTAGGATGGGCTTTGGCCACCACTTTAGGTGGAGGAAACTAGACTAAGGTCTCAGGAAGCCCCTGAGCAGGGTGGGGACACTTTATCTTCATGTGTCTCTTCTACCTCCCCAATCCCTAGTGGTGACGGCAGCTCAGGCCAAGAACCTGATTGACGCTGGTGTGGATGGGCTTCGTGTGGGCATGGGCTGTGGCTCCATCTGCATCACCCAGGAAGGTAGGTTTCCACAGGGGAAGGAGGAGGGACTGCCATTTAGAACGTCTCTGGTCAGGGCTGGAGAGATAGCTCAGAGGTTAAGAGCACTGGCTGCTCTTGCAGAGGACCCAGGTTCAGTTCCCAATACCCACATGGCTGCTATCAACTGTCCAAACTCCAGTCCCAGGAGATCCAATGCCCTCTTCTGGCCTCTGTGGGTATTGCAGTCATGGGTGCACTTACCTTTATGTAGGTCCATTAATACCCTACAGCCTCACTCTTGTTCCTCAGATACATGGCAGGCCAGTGCTTGCCCCACCAGTCCTTTCTTGGGAGGTAGGCTCAGGCTGGCTCATGTCGGCCTTTGCCCTGTCTGGGGATGGTTGTGGGAAGAAGCAGGTGTAAGCAGATGAGGGCATGTGAGTTTAGGGAGTGGACTAACCTGCTTCTCAGAGACTGGTTGTGGAGACTCCCATCTGGAGGCCAAGGCTGATGTGACTCTTGCCTAAGGTATGTGTCAGAAGCCAGTTGAGGGACTTGGATTGGATTTGTGACTAGGCCATGCCTAAGGTATGAAGAGCACATGTTCCTGAGCATACAGGGACATTTTAAATATTCTAAAGGTCATAAGTACCCAACTCTTATGATGGCTGTTGCAAAGGAGACCTTTTCAGGGAGTTTATGCCTTCAGAACAGGTGATGGTAGGGACCACCAATCTTGAGGTCCTATACTCTAAGGCTAGTACTGATCTCACCCAAATTCTTTATAGTGCTGTCATTGGTGGGTAGCCCAGGTCCCTGATATCCCCCCGCTTAGAAACACCACCCCCCTGCCATCCCTCCCCCGATTGGTGATAGGCACAAGGAGAAGAGACTGATGTAGCCCTGTGCTTGACACTCAGGGCTGCTACTGACTTATTTCCATCCTGTACATCCCACTTCTCCTAGTTATGGCGTGTGGCCGGCCTCAGGGTACTGCCGTCTACAAGGTGGCTGAGTATGCCCGGCGCTTTGGGGTGCCGGTCATAGCTGATGGTGGCATCCAGACTGTGGGACATGTGGTCAAGGCCCTGGCACTTGGAGCCTCCACAGGTGAAGGGAGTGCCTTGGGTTGGGTAGGTGGGGCTGGGAGCCAGTGGGAAAGTCACTTGGGTGGGAGGCATTCATCGCTTGGCCTCGACCTCTGCAGTGATGATGGGCTCTCTGCTGGCTGCCACCACGGAGGCCCCTGGTGAGTACTTCTTCTCAGATGGGGTGAGGCTTAAGAAGTACCGGGGCATGGGCTCGCTGGATGCCATGGAGAAGAGCAGCAGCAGCCAGAAGCGATACTTCAGGTACATCTTGCTCTTGAACTCCCATATGCCCTTGACCTCAGAGGGTACTCATCCCATATCCCACTTCTGGAAAGTTAGGCACAGGCATCAGGGCCTGGACCACTTGACCTGGAGGCCATGTTGTCTATGCTGTAGTCTAGTATGCATATGTGACTGCTGTGGGGATCCTTCTGGGTGGCATCCCCTCTGCCTGGGCCCAGAAGAGGTGAGGTGGGGTCCTCTGAACCTCAGGCTGCCAGGTTCAGCCTTCCAACCCTCCATGCAGCGAGGGGGATAAGGTGAAGATCGCACAGGGTGTCTCAGGCTCCATCCAGGATAAAGGCTCCATTCAGAAGTTCGTACCCTACCTCATAGCAGGGATCCAGCATGGCTGCCAGGATATTGGGGCCCAAAGCCTGTCCGTCCTGCGGTGAGTGTTGTGACTTGAGGGGGTAGCCAGTGGGGGTCTTCTGGGAGGTTCCCTTCCCTCCTTGCTTCTCTCACTCCTCTTTTCCTGGATGTTTCTGGCCTGCTCACCTGCCCACCCACCAGATCCATGATGTACTCAGGAGAGCTCAAGTTTGAGAAGCGGACCATGTCAGCCCAGATCGAGGGTGGTGTGCACGGCCTACACTCGTAAGTGGGTAGCCTCCTTGCCTTTGCTGGCTCATGCTGGTTTGGGCAGGTAGGCAGGCTGAGAGGCCAAGCTGAGATTCCAGGGGCCCCATGGTCCATCTGTCGCCCTTACTATAGGGCCCAGTCCACCCTGGAACCTTGTCATGGAGCTTCCATGTAGACCAGCTGTTCCCCTCCCCTCCCTTTGGGTAGCTCCCTGAGCAGAGGCATGGGAGGTGTGGGTGCTAGCCCCACCTGGGTTAGCTCTTGCTTGCTCAGGAAGCTTGGTGGCTGGTGGCAGGGGCTGGTGGTGCCGGGCTCTTGCTGGTGGTAGCCCCAGGCAGGTAGGCAGAAAATGGGGGCATGAGCCCTCTGGTGGGGAGAAGGACAGAGAGACAGATGCCAGGCTCAGTGCTGGTGCAACCGCGGGTGGGAGCAGAGCTAGTTGGCAGCGGTAGTTGCAGGCATGCAGCCCTCCCTGGTCGAGAGGACCCATCTCCCCAGGCATAGATGGGCATCTAACCTGTGTCTCTTTCTGCCCCACCCTTTCATAGCTATACCTTTCTGCCGTGTAAGTAACTGCACTGCCCGGGCCAGGTGTAGAATAGAACAGGGGCAGCCTGGGTGGGACTTGGGCTGGGAAGATGGGAATGGGTAGGAGGGGTCATACTGGGATATAATCATGGGACATGGACCCTGGGATTGGGCCCTTCTGGCCTCTGTTCCCAGCACCATGATGGTGGAGGCCAAGTATGGCCCCTCATCCAACCAAAACACAAATCCCTTTCTGGGGTGCAAAGAGATGCCTATGATCACAGGCCTGGGGCTGCTGCATTATGAAGGGCCTGAGCCACCATCCATGGGGAACAGGGTGGAAACAGAGCAGCAGAAATTGAGCTAGTCAAAGCCTGCTCCATGAGGATGGCAGTGTTTTCCCAAGCTCTCGCTCCACCCTGGGCACCAAGGACAGCTCATTCAGATGTGGCATAGGCTAGAACAAATGTGGCTGTGGTTCTTCCTGGCATGGTTCTTCAGGGAGCCCTGGCTTGGGGAGGACAGAGATCCAGGGCTGCTTCTGCCTCCTCTGGCCCCCTGGCTGAGGGGCAGCTCTACAGCCTCCACCCTCTCCCATATCTGGGGGACCCCGGGCGAGAGGATGCTGGGAAGGGGTAGGAGTCACACACCCACTCTTAGTTTCCTCTTGTTTGCCCTCACAGTTACGAGAAGCGGCTGTACTGAGGACAGCAGTGGAAGCCGAGGTGGTGGAGGAGGTGAACCCCAGGGTCCCACTCCAGGAACGGCCTCCCTCCATAACTGAGCGACCCATGGATTTGCACTAAGGGTTCCATAGCTCCTTCCAGGGAGAGAGGCGGGGAGTCCTGAGGGGCTATGGCCCCTCTCTGGCCACCCCCACAGTCAGATTACTCCCTGTGCCAGGCTGCCCTGGGAGTCCCTCTGGGCTCCCCCCTTCTTCAGCCCCCTGAGCCTAGCCAGCCTGGGCTCTCAGGCCCTGCGCCTGCCTCAGGTCTTTCTCGCTGCAGCCTGCTCCAGCCCAATTCCCACCCCTGGGGAAGGTGGCCCCTCCTGGCTTCTCCTGTAGGGCACCTCCCTCCCACTGCCCCCCCCCCAAAATGGTGCTCTCCTGACCCTGCCTCTGGCCCCTCCCCAGGCTGTTGTCCTCTCAGCCGTGTGACACTCTGGGTTCTGGACCTAGATCAGGGGGAGGTCTCTGCCCCCTTCCTCTGGCCCAAGGCTACCCTAGGCCCTGTTCCTCAGCCCACTTTACCATCCCTGAACCTAGGGAAGACCTGATGTTGGTCACCTGCCCATCATTCCTGATGCACCATCATCCCCAGGTGTACCATCCCTGCCCTCTCTTCTCAGCTGCAGTTGAAGGCTTTAACTTTGCACACTTTGGGGTCACAATTGTGTCATTGTATATCAAATAATCTGAATAAATCAAGTAGATATCAAATGCCTCTGCCATCCCATCTCTGTCCCTTGCCCACAGGGTGGCTGGCCCCTATCCTGGAGGTAACTGGGAGCCCCGTCAGAACTTGGCCTCTCCAGGAAGTTGAGGAAGAGATGTCACACTCAAGGGATATACTGGCATAGGTGAGGCACATGATAGCCAGTCTCCCAGGCCTGGACTGACTGGCCAATAACTCCTACAACTTGACAGTACCACTGAGGGGTTCATCATAGCTCCCACTGCAACCTTGAACAGGTGTAAGTGCTGTATGGAGGTGACTAAATGCCCAGGACCTGTGGCCTCATCAGCTGAGACACCCCTGTGTGTACAAGCAGATGAGTGTACTACCACTGTTTACTGTGGCTTAAGACTGCTCCAGCCTCTATCTCCTGCTGAGTAGATACCTGAGGCTGCTGAGAACTTACCTGGAGGTTCTAGCAGGGAAATGCAGCTACTCATGTACTCTTTATTTTGTCTTATTTTTTGGTCTTTTTGAGACAGGGTCTGTATCCCCAATTACCCTGGAACTCACTATGTAGACCAGGTTGGCCTTGAACTCACAGAGATCCACCTGCCTAGTGCCTGGGGTTAAAGGTGTACACTACCATGCCTACCCTACTCATGTACTCTTGACCAAAGATGGGTCCTCTGTCTGAGAAGTTTGTCTTCTTTTGGCTTTGGGAGGGATACACATGGAACAGTGAAGGAGGAAGGGGTCACCCACCTAACTAGCTAGATAATCCAAATCAACCCTTGCAATGAATAGGGTGACAGATTTGAACACCCTCTAAAGTTGAGGAGTCTTGAGATAGTCCTACTGTTTTCCATGCTGGTGGTGGTGGTTGGCAGTGGTTGCAAAAATGTCCCACTATAGCACAGACACCCCTCAAATGGGCAGAGGAAGATGGACTAGGAATGTTCCAGTAGCAGGAAGGTCAGGGAGTGGGAAAGATCCTGGTTTATGGTAAGGATCCAGAAATGCTCCTTTGACTACCAGGGAGGGGCTACATAGCACCCTGTTGACATGACATGCTGGTGGTTGTGCCCACCCAGGCCCCACTCACAGCAAGTCTTTGGCCAGGGGCCTGGTACCTGTTGAACATTGCTTCTGGGCCAGATTTCTGCTGCAGTAAGGTCCAGCTTTGTGGCATCTTTGGGATTGGGAAAGGGAGAGTTGGGTGGCAAGTTTTTGAGCTCAGAACCACTGCTGGAGCTATATCAAGAGTCCCTGGAGGCCTTGTGTCCTGGACTGTGGCCTCCTAGGTGGGCACCTAAAAGTCAAAGGTGACCTAGCTGATGAGATGATGCTTAGATCCCATGAAGTGGTAAAAGATGAGCAGATGGTTTAAAATGAGATCATATTTCACATTGCATGTTGGTTTACAAAAATTTTACAGGAAACAGAGTGACCCATCCCATTAAGATGGGCAAGAACTCTGATTTTTAGATAGATACCAATTCATTCTGAATCAAGCAGGTGAGCACATCAAAGGGAGAGTTTCCCTTTGAACTAGACTTCATGGACCAATACAGCTGACATTAGAATGAGTTACCCTGTGAACTGGTGACCTTCCATGGAGTTCATTAGCATTAGCTGGGCATTCTAGAGGAAGTTCTGGCTCCATTGGTGTCTTAGTTTCTTTTCCATTTGCTGTGATAAAATACTCAAACAGCCTGGCGTGGTGGCACACACCTTTAATCCCAGCACTTGGGAGGCAGAGGCAGGCAGATCTTTGTGAGTTCAAGGCCAGCCTGGTCTACATAGTGAGTTCCAGGACAGCTGGGGCTACAGGGAGACCCTGTCTCAAAAAGACAA